TAATGGGTTTATGTATAAATATTTTTAGAAAATAAGATTAGCAAAAATAAGGGTAGCAAAAAATTACATGGGGCTGGAGCCCACCCTAGCCTAAGGGTGGCTCCGCCCCTGCGTGCGCCTCATGGGCGAGCACTCGATCATGGAGAAACAAGGGGAGGCCCACCGGGCCCTCCGCTCCATCATATCCGCCAGCTTGGGCCCGGCGGGCCTGGAGACTCTCGTCCCCAGGATACCACCGTGCGGGCCCACCTTGAGAAATACAACCGAGAAACGACCGTGGGCTTCTACGGGCTGACAAGGGCCCTGACGTTCACAATCGTCCTGGAGTGCCTGCTGGGGATAAAGGCAGGGCCCGGGATGCTGGGGACGTTCGAGCGCGTGCTGGAAGGGGTGTTCGCAGCCCCGGTGGGGTTTCCGTGGTCCAAGTTTGGACGGGCGAGTGGGGCCCGGCGGGAAATCGAGCGGGAGCTAGTGAGAGAGATAAGGAACAGGCGGGAGGAGATGGAGAGGGGGAAAGTTGGAGGGGAGGGCGGAGTTTTGCTGTCCCTGTTGGTTGGGGGGCTTATCCGGGGAGAGATTAGCGAGGCAGAAGTTGTGGATAATGTGGTCTTGCTCGTGTTTGCAGCTCACGACACCACATCGTTCGCCATTGCCATGACGTTCAGGATGCTAGCTCACCATCCTGACTGCTATTCAATCCTCGAGAAAGGTAAATAAATGCCTTTTTGCCCAAATTTAGCTAAATGTAAGCTTTATACTTTCTTCGTTGTAACTATTGCATGACAGTTAAGTTTTTTGTGCTCATATTAACAGAGCATAGAGATATAGTGAGTCGTAAAGGACAGGAAGAACCTCTCGCGTATGAGGACACCAAAGCGATGAGCTATACGTGGAAAGTTGCTCGGGAGAGCATGAGGATTTTCCCGCCAATTTTCGGCTCGTTTAGGAAAGCGATCCAGGACATTGAGTACGACGGGTACACAATTCCTAAAGGGTGGAAGGTATGTAAAAATTTGAAAAAATAAAAGACGAAGAATAAAAAATCAAATCCCAAGTATTCATGCATTTGCCTTACAAATAATTCATGTGTTGTATGCAGATACTGTGGACGGCGTACGGGACGCATTACGATCCAAAGTGTTTTGAAGATCCTATGACGTTCAATCCGGATAGATTTGACGACTCCATTCAGCCTTACGCGTTTGTACCGTTTGGTGGAGGCCCGAGGCTTTGTGCAGGATACCAACTGGCTAAGCTGAATATTCTCATTTTCGTACACTACATTGTTACAAGATACGATTGGTCGCTAGTGTTGCCCGATGAGCCGATTACGATAGATCCCCTCCCATTCCCTTCTCAGGGAATGCCGGTTACTATTCGCCCAAAAGTCGAGACAAAGCTGTGATATGTTCATGAGTACTCAATCGAGTTTTTTTTTTTTAGTTTAATTGCTTCTCAAGTTGAACTGCAAAAATTCTTTTGTGTAAGCTACTAATATTTGTTTTTGTGTGAAATTTGGTGATTTTCTCTATAGAAAAACCCCCTCATCAATAAAAATCTAGGTGTAATTGAACTTGATGAACCATGAACAGAAAACAACATTATCAGATTCTAAATCTTGATAAAAAAAAGAGACCATGAGTGGAGGAAAATCGTTCTTGGCACCTCTATGCTCTCAAAAGATGGTAGAGAAGCACAAAAGGCTGTTATATGATAATGGGAAGAAATTAGAGATGGTGAATTAAGTTTGCTTAATGTATGTTCTTTTCGTTAGTGCTTTTTAATCTTCTTTTTTCGACTATTTATAGTCCACCTAAATTCATTGAGGATCATGATGTGGACTTCTATGTCTCCAAGCTCTTGACTAACAATTGATGGAATAGACATACTTCCTCTCCTCATTTCCACACCCTTCAGGCTTCCTTGAGCTATGGCGTCGAGATTTAGGTACTTTAGATTGGTATTCAGATTGTTGCACATTTTTCTACACACATTTGGATTGAGCTGGATGCTGCTGTTGTCGCCACCCTTATGACTTTGGGTCGTCATGGCTCGTGGCAGATCACTCACTCATGCGCATCAGATGCATACTTTGGTCGGATCACGCACATCTTTTGTGAGGGAAATGAACGAACTTGGCACCAACATTTCTGAGAAGTGCACTTTCCAGGCCGACACCGCCTCACTCCACCTACGTACCTACGTACACTGCAGATGGATCAGTTTGGCCACCATCATTTTTCTTTCACTAGATTAGGGGAATGGATCTGATGCGCATGAGTGGGTTTGTATGTGCCATGAGCCCTGATTGCCCGATGTCAAAAGGGTGACGACGACAACAACATTCAACTTAATCCAAATGTATGTGGAGAGGTGTGCAGTAATTTGAGGGCTAATCTAAAGTACTTCGGTCAGTTCATCAGGATCAAACACATCTTCTGTGTTCGGGAATGGATCTATCGATTTTCTTGCTGGACTTGGCACCACCAAACTTTTCAGACTGACATCGCCTAACTCCACCTACGTACACTGGTGCAGACGGATAAGTTTGGCCACCCATCTTTCCGCTTTCATTAGATTATGTTTGCTTTTGTGTTTTTCTGATTTAGCCCACTTTTATGGTGCGCATTGTTTCCATGGCCTTCTGTTAGCTTAGAATCAGATACTTGTTCTCGTTTTTCTCTTCTATTTCTAGTCCTGGTACCCTATAGACGATAATATGTTCACCACGGTTGGGAATTTGATCTATGCAACAGGTTGGGGATCTGACTTGTTCATTATCCTCCAGGAATGTTTTTCATAAAAAATAAAGTCTAGTCATCATCAAAATAATTATATCAAAATGATCAATTGAAAAAAATACCACTATTTTCCATAAATTTCAGATTAATTCAAAATTTTCAAATTACAAATTTGTATATTGATACATGATTTTTTTTTAATTGTAGGCATCGGGCTAAAATCAAGCTCGATTTAGCTGGTGGGTAGTATTTACATGTACACGTGCATTTTCATCATACAAATTAATTACAAAAGAAATCACCACCTTTCTCGAATTTGTAGATTTAACCCGTCTATTTTAAGTTTGCATATAATTCCTGAAATTTTCAATTATTTACAATTCGATACATCAAGTCTAAATCCAAACTAATTTAATTTATCCTTTACAAGTAAATGTCAAATATACACATATTGCACATAAAAAAAACGCAAATCCATAATTAAATAAAGACGACTGACTTTTAGATCAAAACCTAAGAGCACGCTTGGATACAAATTAAACCCAAAAAGTCCAATCATTTTTAACTCAACCATTTTTTTAACTCAAGTTTAATTCAACCCCACTATCATCAATATTATCAATATAATTAAATAATATCAATAAATCATTCTTACACACAATATCAACCTTAATTAACTATTCATCTACTCACATAATTTTAACTAACCATCACATTGTCACCCATCTTTCCGCTTTCATTAGATTATGTTGGCTTTTGAGTTTTTCTAATTTAGCCCACTTTTATGGTGCACATTGTATCCATGGACTTCTGTTAGCTTAGAATCAGATATCTGTTCTCGTTTTTTCTCTTATATTTCTAGTCTTGGCACCCTATAGACAATAATATGTTCACCCCGGTTTAAAGTCTAGTCATCATCAAAATAGTTATATCAAAAGGATCAATTGAGAAAAATACCATTATCTTTCCATAATTTCAGATTAAATCAAAATTTTCAAATTACAAATTAGTATATTGATACATGATTTTTTTTAATTGTAGGCATCGGGCTAAAATCAAGCTCGATTTGGCTGGTGGATAGTATTTACATGGACACGTGCATTTTCATCATACAAATTAATTAGAAAAGAAATCACCACCTTTCTCGAATTTGTAGATTTAACCCGTCTATTTTAAGTTTGCATATAATTCCTGAAAGTTTTAATTATTTACGATTCGATGCATCAAGTCTAAATCCAAACTAATTTAGTTTATCTTTACGAGTAAATGTCAAATATACACATATTGCACATAAAAAAATGCAAATCCATAATTAAATACACACGACAGACTTTTAGATCAAAACCTAAAATGTTCAAATCCACCCACAAACAAATTACTATTAGTTTTTTCGCTACCTCCCGTTGCATCTCCTCATTTGACGATGACACACAAGTGTTCGGTTTCTCTATGGAAAAATTGAATGACACAGCTTATGGAACCATCCATAATCATTCACAAATAGAGTGTCAATATGGATGTCAAATCAAATTTCGTCAAAAATTGATTAATTTGATACAATATATTAAAACTTGTAACAAATATGAAAGTTATCACTTTTAAATATAATTATAACTATGTTTGTCAAGTGTTTTATAATTTTAAAAAATTGAATTTTATATCTTTATCAACTACTCCAAATATATGATTGTGAAATACCACAATAGAGAAAGTGCATTATATATAGGGAGAATTTTTTCATGATGTATAATTCACAATATATATTATATATAATATAATAAATAATCTGATCAAATATAATAATTTTCTAAAATATGATTTGGTCATAACTATTCTATTAATTGTAAAACAATTGTTATTTTTCAATTTAATAATTAATATATGTTTCATTTATAAATAATTAAAATCTAATGCATTTTATTTTTAAAATAAATAAAAATATTTAAAGATTATCTTATCCGAATACTATTTAAGGTAAATGCTACATTCCGTTAAGAAACCATTCCATCGGGATTGTAATCGTTAGATCATCATGTAACCGTAGTGGATAGTTGATCTAATAGTTACAAAACCCGACGGGATAGTTCCGTAACGGGACCGTAAAATTTCCTACTATCTAAATCGCTACATCAATTTAAGGGTGACTAACTTCGCAAACCGATTATTCCACTTGGACAATATTATGCCCACAGATGCTAGTGCCTAAAACCTACATCTACCCCCAAATTATAGAATGTTGAAAGTTTGATATTTAAAAATTCAGATTTGTAATGTAAGGTAATAATGATTTGCAATCACACAACTCTCAAAACATACGATGGGCATATAAAAGTTAAAAACACTTGATATGCAAATCATGGGATATCGAAAGTTAAGACATCATGGCTACAGTGGTTACGGCCTAAGGATTGACTTTGATAAAGCATTATTGACAACCCACGTTAATAAAATAGAAAGATGTTACGGTCCCGTTACGAAATCATTCGGTCGGAATTTATAATCCGTAGATTAACTATCCCGACGGTTACACGATGATCTAACAATTATAAACCTTGGTGGAATAGTTCCGTAAACCGTAACATTTCTCAATCACCTCCCGAAGCTTTTTAATAGTAAAATTTGTTGTCATATGCAGTTACTGATCTTGCTAAGCAAAAAGAACCCAACAGTAAAATCATGTAATAAATACAATTCACAGCCCCAAATACCCCTCTTCCCTCCAATCATTCTGGAGTTGTTCTGCTATTATTTTGTTCTGCAAATTGTTCGTTCTCTGTGTCTGAAATCGACGACACTCACTGGTGTGCCGGCGGGCGAGAAGGAAGTGGAAGAGTAGAAGAAAACAATTCCTCTGCTTTTACGGAACTGTTTTCTTGAATTTGTGCGTTTGCGTTTCTTGTAATTTTTTTATTTTTATTTTTGGTTACGCACACACATATATTCTTGTAAGATGGGTTCTGTTCAGGACTTGGTAAAATTCTCGTATTTCCCCTCTGTTTTTTAGGTTAAAGTTGTGATCTTTCTGGTAGAGTAGTCAAGTTTTGATCTTTCCTTAACTGTGATGTAGTCGGAAGCCCTCAATTTCAAGTGGGTTGCATGAAGTTCTGAGTTTCGTGATTTGGGAATTCCTGACATTTTTGGTCGGCTTGTCTGTTTGGAACCTCGGACATGGGTTGACCAAAATTTGAGCTAAAACAAGTTTGTTATTCGCGTATTGTTGTAATTGGTCCCGCACGATTCACTCCCAAGTTAATTACACTCTTCTTGAGCTGAAATTGGATACATGCAGTACCAGATTTCTGTGTGTGTCATCCAGATTAACAATGCTTTGCCTTTAAATTGAGTATTTTTATTGTTTTCACCCTCCCTTTTTCGATCACATGTTTATAAGTGATGCTTGTGAGCTGTTTCGGTATCGGTGTGGCTTTAAAGTGTGCAATTAGTTTGCTTTGCTGCTTAATGTCATCTTGTTGATTGACTTATTCGAGTTGGTTAAAAAAACTCATTTCTCTTGCTTCTCGATTGTTCTGTGAACTGCACTGGGTCGAGCTGGCTGGATCTATTAATTTTGCGAATGAGTGTGCTAGTTTAGGCATTTCTTTTGTTCTAACTCGATGATGCTTAAGCATAATATTTTTTTTAATATGACATCCAACATCCATTTTGTTCTTGAACTTGCAAATTCAAGCTCAAATGATGCTCAGTTTCCATGAATATTTTTGCAGGTAGTGATATAAATGGAGAAACCAAAACCATCAAAAAATACATTCACTGGTTAGTCTAAAGAGCTGTCCTTCACCTTATAAACAAATTATGTACTGTTTGAATGCACATACTATGTGACACTGAACTATAGATAGTACATTTTACTGTATCCCAATACTCCATTGTTTGAATTTGGTGTTTTTAGTCGCAGATAAAGAGAAAGGTGCATGGAGACTTCCCAGGGGAACTGGTGCATATCACACATCGAGCGATGCTAGCTTGTTTTCTACCTCGCTGCCTGTCCTCCCACATGCTAAATGTGCGCACGAGTAATTAAGCGTCTTAATGTTGTTATTATGACCTTCTATGACTTTGACATGATCACTTAGCTTGTCTATGCCAATTTGCAGTTAATTTTGATGAACCTGATCAAGGTGGTCAGCCGCTTGATGATGACTTCCCTATTCTCAGTAAGGTTCGTCTAGAAGCTAAAGTGAAGGACCGACTAGAAGACAATAAGCCACATACTATGGAGAACTTTCTTCCGGATGATGAAAATGAACTTTTAGCTGGTCTTATGGATGACTTTGATCTTAGTGGGTTGCCTACTCAACTTGAGGACTTGGATGATGATTTCTTTGGAAGTGGAGGTCTTGAAATAGAACCTGAGAGTCATGAGAGTCTAGTCGATGGTATATCAAGATTAAGTACATTGGATGGTATTAGTGGAGTAAGTATACCCCATTATGGTTTCACGAATGGTGCTGGAGCTGTTACCGGTGAACACCCGTATGGAGAGCACCCTTCAAGGACATTATTTGTTCGAAATATCAACAGTAATGTAGAGGATTCTGAACTAAGGGCTCTGTTTGAGGTAATCTTAACCAGATTCTTTTATTTGCGCATGAAGGCATTTTATAATCTTTCTGTAGGTACTCATTCTCATCTGCTCCTGCTTTTGATTGCTACATTAGTATGCTTAGTGTATTTTACTTGCTGTGGTGTGTTCTTGAGGTTGTTCCGATGGAGAATGCAGTTTTTAGGTGCATATTATGAGGACGTGCATTTGCACTAATTCTTTTTGCAGCTGGTTGCTGTGCATAAACTTGTGGTTGTTGAATTTTCCTTTCTCCTGTTAAATGAAGATGTTTGTGAAGGGGTACAAAGTATTTGCAAATTGCAATATGAGTAAAATGTATAGATGATCTGTATAAGGGTGAGGAGTAGGAACAAGAATCCAGGGAAGTTATAGTGGTCTATGTTTATCAGCGTATAGTTTTTTTTCGTGCTGTTCAAAAACTGAAGTAATCATTTGGATTAGTAGTCCTGAGTGAATTTAACTCACCCATGTGAATTAGAAAAGGGCTAAACTCTTCTGGTTAGCCAATAGTAAACTAGTATTCTGTTGGGAACACATGATGTCATTTCTAATCAGAATAAATATGGGCTATCTATCAATTTATGAATTGTCTGTGGATGAATACTATTTTATACTTTCATAGCAATTGTAGAAACTCAAACTTCGTTGTACATGTCTCTTATTGATAATGTTTGGTAGCATTTATGAAGCAGCTACTTAAATATCCAGTTCCAGTCTCATGTTGTGTTTAATAATCTTTAAATTGTCAGAAATCAAAGAATGTTCTTTTCTTTTTGTACTTTTTCAATATGAATAATTACTATTGTAAAGTTGCCCGATACATTTAATGCTTGAAGTTGCAAGTATACAATATGTATTGAAAAAATGAATTGTTGAGGTGAAACTAGTGACTAATTAGGGGTTTTGCTCGCAACTTAAGTGAATAGCTAAACCTATGCTTTGGTTAGAGTTCATCTAATTTGAGTTAACGAGTTCTATAATACGCTTGAAATGTTGGTTAACAGGTTCTTTCTTGTTCATGTTTTGACTATTTATAGGTTCCATGAAAATGTTTTTTAACATATATGATGCACATTTGTTCTCAAAGTTTGTTGAAAAATACTAACTCGTTTCTGTTCCTTCTCTCTTTTTCTCTTTTCCTTCTAATAGCAATATGGAGATATCAGAACTCTTTATACTGCATGTAAACACAGGGGATTTGTGATGATATCTTACTATGACATAAGATCTGCCCGGACTGCTATGCGGGCATTACAAAGCAAACCTTTAAGAAGAAGAAAACTCGATATACATTTTTCAATTCCAAAGGTAGGAACCAAGATAATATACGTTTCTAGCACTGTAAGTGTGATGAATAGATGGCATCCTACTAACTACTGTCTCTTTCTCTATGCAGGATAACCCATCAGAAAAGGATATTAACCAAGGAACTTTGGTGGTGTTCAATTTGGATGCCTCGGTATCCAATGATGACCTTCGCCAGATATTTGGAGTTTACGGGGAAGTTAAAGAGGTAAATTTAATCTTAGCCTTTTTTTTATTATTCTTTAAAAGAGACATTTGGGTTATGTTTATGTGATTTATCCAGATAAGGGAAACACCTCATAAACGGCATCATAAGTTCATCGAATTTTATGATGTTAGAGCTGCAGAGGCAGCTCTCAAAGCCTTAAATAGAAGTGACATAGCTGGAAAACGCATAAAGCTTGAACATAGCCGGCCTGGTGGAGCCCGTCGTAGGTACATTCTGTATTTATTCTTTTAGGTGTTTCTGTACTAGTTTATTGCTGTTTATATTTATCCAGTTCATGTTCTGCTGGAGTCAAGGGTTTTGACTAAGAAAGTTAGAAAATTGTAATTGTGAACCTGTGAAAGAAATAAAACATGTTAACTTTCTCGGGGAAAATTGTGACCAGCAATCTGCTATAACATAAAGTTCTCCACGGGAGAGTCGGCTGAAGTATCCTCCAGAAAACAATAGAACTGACTTGAATAAAGCTCTAACCCTACGTGCGTAAAGCCCAGTTATTTTCTTATAGTAAAAATAAACAACATTGCAAGATCTTTTTGCTTCTACTACTGTAAACTTTGCAAATCAGTGTGTTACATTCTCAGGCTGAATGAGTAGCCTTTTTTGGAAAAAAAAATAAAAATCTTCAACTTTCTAAGATTAGGGTTTGTAGTGTTTATAAATTCCTTAAATCATCTTATGAGATGTTTGGAGGGTAAGCTATACTGAATATATGGAGATGAACTTCACAAGTATTGATTACCTTGCCTCCTTATGCATTGCTGACCAGAGATTGAAATACTTGAAGTCTAAGATGACTTTGGCACATAAGGCGTTTCAAACTGCTGCTGGTATTTTGTATTCTGTGACGATGGGCTTTGGATGCTTGGAATCTTGAAAATATGTATGGTCAAGGACATCGTGGACTTGGATTGGGACTTTGGAGTCCAAGTCCTAATCCAAACTCTCTAAGAGTTTCAATTTCGAACATTATCGATTCACTTACCCAATATGATAGTTACAAAATGTGCAACATTATATTATTTATGTATATAATTCGGGTATCAAGTTGTAGATATTGGAGAGGATTAATTTGGTATATTATCCATTTAACATAGATAAGAGATGATATCACCATTCAAAGATTCGAGTGCAAAAAATTGACATGATTTCATTTGTTATTTTAGAATCCTGTTTATGATCTAGCCCGTTACGGTAAAAACATTTTTTTTCAATGTAACGTATTTTTTCAAATTCAAACCAACCAGAAGTCCTCATGCAAGCACACCCTGATAATTGGTTTTTGGAACCGTAACTTCTAACTATACAAAGTTTATTGGATCTGTATTGGCATTACTAGTTTATTGGATCTGTATTGGCATTACTCTTTCTGAAAGTATATAAACATTTGTTTTGGTTGGTAAATGATTGCAAATCCATGTAGTCAAGGTAAAAGGATAAAATATATGTGCTTTTCCTGTGACAGCTTAATCCAGCAGCTGAGTCAAGAGCAGGATCCAGATGAAGTTCGAGCTTTTCTGCATCAAGTTGGTTCGCCCGTGGCCAATTCTCCTCCAGGCATGTTTATTTTGTCTGCACTTTTAACAAACTTGCATGTTGTGTGTATTAGTGATTGTACCCATTGCATGGACTAAAGTGGTCGAAGTTCTTCACAGGTAGCTGGCCAAGTTTTGGCAGTCCAGTCGAGCAGACTACATTGCGCAGTTATAATCAGAGTCTGCCTAAGTTGGAAAGCCTCAGTCATGTTGGGAGGAATGACTTACTGGGTCTGGCTTCTATTCTTCCATCCCATGCTTCAAATCCTGTGAAAATTACTCCAATTGGCAAAGATCCTAAGTTGAGTCCTAGTCCTGGATCCACGTCACCATTCGATTATCCCAAGCCGTCTAGTGTTGGAACACTTTCTGGTCCTCAGTTTCTCTGGGGAAGCCCCACTATTCAACCTGAGGATTCCAATTCATGGTCATCCTCGTTAAAGGGACGCCCTGTCCCGGGCCAGTCAATTGGTTTTCCATACCCGGGTCAGCGTGGTTCAATTCTGGGTTCGCATCATCATCATCATCACCATCATGTGGGGTCTGCTCCATCTGGTGTTCCAATTGAAAGGCATTTTGGTTTTTACCCTAATTCACCTGAAATGTCGTATATAAACCAGGGCGCATTCAGATTATCGAATTTATCCGGCAACAACAGTGGGACTCAGGCAGTGAACATCGGGGCTATGAACATGGGAGTTACTTTTCATGGTAACTTTGCTGATGGTTCTTCTTCATCTGGTTCCAGGTTGATGTCTGTTTCGAGAAATAGTCCTTTGTTTATTGGGAGTGGTTCTTTTGGAAGTACCAGTAATGATGGACTTATTGATCGTGGTCGAAGTAGAAGATCAGAGCTTGGAAATCAGATGGATAATAAAAAGCATTATCAACTCGATCTGGAAAAGATTGTGAATGGTGAAGATAGTAGGACTACTTTAATGATTAAAAATATCCCCAACAAGTAAGAAATAGAAAATCTTCTTCTTCTTCTTCTTCTTCTTGTTCTTTT